TGTTTTTCTGTACCTGCTTGGCTAGAGGGAAGGAGGAGTCAAGAACGGAGCAGAAGAAATGGAAGGACAGACAGTATCAGAGTGACTTCAGATTCATCTTTCAGAACAATATCAACTTTGGCCAACTAGGAAGAGCCTGTCTTTGGTAAGTGGATTTCCACACTTGGTTTCTGCAGTGCAAGGTGAGTCACATACAAGATCATGCACAAGAGCCATGAGGCTCAGTCTGCACAGGGTTGAGCCAGTGGCCTGCTCATTCTGAAATGTAGAAGGTACCCATGGCCCTCAAATCAGGTCAGGCCATCTCCAGTCATGACTTCTGGCTCTAAAGTGGCTGCTCGTCAGAATCTGCCCATTCCCAGAGCGGAATTAGCCCTGTGCCAACTTGGCTTATGAAATGTTTACCAGCGGTTTACAAGAGTGTGGCAAAAGGCACAGCCCAGGCCCAAAGGGCTTTTAAAACTACTTGCTTAATTTCTGCTTTTATAATAACGAGTAAGAAAAGTAAGTTTCCCGGAGAAGAGTCTCAACAAGCCTGCCCTCCGGATCATAGGACCTCAGCCAGAGAACCAGAGAAGGGCTCTTTGCTGGTGTTTCTAAATCAAACTATCAAACTGTCAAAGTACACCCACCTTGGTAGCTTTGGATTCAATGCCTGGATTTAGAATCCCCTAACTAGAACAGGATGTAGAGGTGTGTTTCTGTAATAGCAGCCCCCCAGGGGAAGAGAGGAGCATCTGGAGTTCCAGCCCAGCCCAGGCTATAGTGAGACACTTTCTTAAAACCAACGTTCTGAAACTGCTCCAGTTCCAGCCTCCTGTGAGGCTTCTCAGTGGAAACATTCCTAGCCCAAGGCTCTAGTCCCTTCCAGGACCATTGGAATATGCCCCTGTCATCAAATGTTCGTCATTCTCACTGCACTTGGGGGTTCAACACTACATGCAGCTGCCCCTCCACATGGGTGTTCTTGTTATTCCTCTACAGCCCCAGGATCCAGGGCCAGGCAGTCCACTGCACAAGGGCCACTCATCTGATTACATTAGATTCTAGTCACCCGGGGCCTCCAAATCCCAAGCACAGCAAAAAAAAAAAAAAAAAAAAAAAAAAAACCACCCTACCTTGTTTACCCAGGGAGAGAGACAGAAATGAGAGAGAGAAGAGGAAGGAAGCAGAGGGAGGTGAGGAGAAAGATGGTTGTTCTCATAGGCTTCCATCATGGAGAACATGGCAACAGTCAGTTCATTTCAATTCCACATTTGAGAACACTTTTATTGCATCTGAAAGTGGTAAAGAATGATGACTTGCATTGCCTTTTAGTTCTCTCTCTCACTATCTCTCTTTCTGTCTCTCTGTCTCTCTCTCTCTGTCTCTCTGTCTGTCTGTCTCTCTCTCTCTCGGGGAGATGAGCTCACATTGGAATACTCACCTGTCATGAAGAACAGAGAACGGAGTTTCTCTAGGCCAGTGATGCACCGAGCTAGGAGGAAACTGGATTCATCTCTACTTGCTCCTGGCTCACTCCTGACTTTGATTTAAAACTAAGAGGTGGCAGTAGTAACTGCACAGCATGCTTTGGGGATGGCTGCAGGACAAACCCTTCCATGGTGACCTACCATCTCGTTACTCTCCACTTCCGAAAATACTGAGTCCCATCACTGGCCACTTGTTTGTGGAAGTAAACAGAATCCCATGCTTGGTCACTGTTGCCAGAAAGTCTTTGTTAGAATACATATCAATTGCCGAAAGAAAGGACCTTTAAGCATCTTTCATCTGTGGCTTATGTAACAAGCTCCAGGATCACATACATATTGAAAATCTGTCTTGTGCCCTGTCACTAGGGAGACAACAGTGAATGAGACAGACGTGGTCTCTGCTCAGACAGCATGTGATACAGGCAGAAGGAAGGTCACCGGACAGAAACCACACAGAGCTCAGATGGGATCTGGTACGAGGAGAGAGCCTGCTAAACCTTCTAGAGACCTGAAGAAAACAAGTGAGAGGCTCCTGGGAAGCCAGACGTGGTGGGTCATGCCTGTAACCCCAGCATTCAAGAGGTCAAGACAGAAAGATCAGAAATTCTAAACCAGCTTGGGCTACATAGTCAGCTGCAGGCTAGCTTTGACTGCGTGACAAGATGCTACCTTTTCTTAACCATGTTTATATTTTGGCTTATGATATAATTACATCCTTTCTTCCTTGCACTTCATCTCTTCAAATCCTCCCATATGCCCCTCCTCAGCCTCTTTCTAGCTCCTGGCCTCGTCTCGGTCTGTGTAACTCTACTTGCATGTGTGTGTTTTCAGGGTTGACCATTTGGTACTGGATACCCATTTGGGGCGCTGTTCGCTGGGGAAGACTCCCTCCCACTGTCAGCCTTCCTTACTTGCCTGTAGCCCTTTGTATAGGACTGGGGCTTTGGGGGCTTCCCCATACCCACATCCGCATGTCTATTGGTGCCCCCCTCATTCAGCTCATGTTTAGGCAGTCACACCGGTAGACTTAATGGGTGTAGCTTCTGACATTCCTCTGGGATATGATCTCACATCAAATTCCCCGTTCCTCTGGCTTTAACCATCTTTCACGATGGTCCCTGAGCCTTAGGTGCGGGTGTTGTGTTGTAGTTGTATCAACTGGGACTGGGCTCCACAATTCTGCATTGTGATTGGTTGTGATTTTCTATAACGATCTCCATCTGTTGCAAAAAGAAGCTTTCTCGATGAGGGGCAAGAACTACACTCATCTGTGGGTATCAGGACAAATGTTTAGGATGTAGTTAGAGACTATGGTGGTTTAGGAAAGAGGTGGCTGGAGGTTCTCCTCCAGGATCCATGGGTAGTTGTCTGTGGAGGTTACCAGTACCAGGCGTGATTTCTTTTCCTTCTTGTTGTGCATCTTCGGTTTTGTTTTTTGAGGTATAGTCTCGGCTCTCAAGACGAAGTATGGTGGAAGTAAAAAGAGTGGTTCGAGGTGAGCAAAAGACCTAATCTGGGAAATGCCCAGTCCGCGAAGGATCCAAGGTCATGGTGTTAGCAGAGGGGCACTGGGAGCTGGGTGCTGCCAGATGACTCTGTGTCACCATTAAAAGGGTCCACCAGTCAGTCCCCTCTTCTTGCTCTTCTTGTCTGTCTGTCTGTGTCTGTCTGAGTGCCTCTCTCTGTGTTCCCACTCTAGGAAGGCCTTTGAACTTTCACCTCCCCTCCCCCACCCCAGTAAACCTCTTGCACTGATTCTGTGGCCTATGGCTTGTTCTTTTAGCAGCACACCTTGGAAGGGCCCACCTAGGGTACCCTCTTCACCATTTTTTATCCTTTCATATGGCAAGACCAGACTTGACTTCATCTCAGGGGCAGGAGATCCATGAAGAGTTTCCAACAGCACCTGTGAGACATCTAAGAGGAGATGTCGTAGAAGCAACCAGGGATGCAATTCTAGCTGGGTGTGGTGGCTCATACCTGTGACCTCAGCACTGGGGAGGCTGAGGCAGAACCCTGATTCAGGCCTGAGGTCAGTCTGGGCTCTGTTGTGATTTCCAGGACTTGGACTAAACAAAGAGACTGTCTCAAAAAGCCAAGCCAAGCCAAAACAAACCAAAATCATAGCATATGCAACTGCTGGGAAGCAGGACAGGCAATTGAGTGGGACATCCCTAGCACAGAGAAAGCAATCCAGGCTATGGAGCTTGTGATGAGGCACACTGAGGTGAGAATAGAAACCAAACCCCTGAAGAACACTAGAAAGTAAAACCAAGAGTCACACTGAGGTATAGAGCCAAGACAAGGGACGCCAATGTTCTGGCTTGGAGAAAGTGAATAGTCACAGGACTTAAAAGAAGAATGGAGGAGGGACTGGGAAGATGTTTGAGTCAGTAAGAGCACTGTCTGTGCAAGCTTGAAGGAGACCCAAGTTCAGCTCAGTGAATAAGAGTGCTTGCTAAACAAGCATGAGGACATGAATTCAAATCCTCAGGTCCTGCTGTGGAATATTCCTTTATACTGTGTGAATATATGTTCCTGTGATTGGTTTAATAAGGAAGCTGGCTGGACAATAGCTGAGCAGATAAGGTTATGCAGGAGAAGCCACACTAGGAGAACGATGGAAGGAGGGTGGAGTCTGGGGTCACCAGCCAGATGCAAAGGGAGCAGGAGATAAACATGCTATGTTAATAAAGGTACTGCCACATGACAGAGCATAAATAAGGAATATGGGCTAACAAAGTGTAAGAGCTAGTTAGTAATAAGCCTGAGCTATTGGCTGAGCATATGTAATTAATATTAAGCACCTGAGAAAAACTCTGCTCACAAGCACCCATGAAAAAAGGCAAGTCATGGTTGTGTGTGTCTTACCACACCAGTAAAGTGGGTGGAGATAGGTGGGTCTGAGGATACTGCTGGCCACTCTAGCTGAAAAGGCTAGTTAAGCAAGAGACTGCCTTATGAACTGATGGACAAGGCCAGAATGATTTGGGTGGAAGCTCATTATCAATTGACCAGCTGATTTATGTTTTTGTGCTAAAGATTTATGATATCAATGTGCCAGGCAGGAGCTGAAGGTTTTCTTCAGGATAAGGAAGATGGCTCTGTAGGTTAAATCACTCTTTAAGACTTGACTTCAACCCCACAGCTCATATGATGGAAAGAGAGAACTGATCTCCACAAGTTGCCCTCTGATTCTTGCATGTGCACTCCCACACAAGAAGTATATAAATTAAAAATACATAAGTAAGAAGTTATGTTCAGAGAGGAAAAAATGAACAACTAAGGTTTTTTTTGGTTTTTTTGAGTGCCAGGTGTGGTGGCACTCAAAAGGCAGAGGCAAAGGCAGGTGTATCTCTGTGAGTTCAAGACCAGTCTGGTCTATGTAACAAGTTCCAGGCCAAGGCTACATAGTGAGACCTTGTGTCAAAACACAAAAACACCCCTCACACTGCACTATTCACCCCTGCACTGCATGATTCAACCCTGCACTGCACTACCTCACCCCTGCACTTCACTACTTCACCCATGCACTACTTCATCCCTGTACTGCACTACTTTACCCCTCACACTGCACTACTTCACCCCTGCACCGCACCATTCACCCCTGCACTGCACCATTCACCTCTGCTCTGCACCATTCACCCCTCACACTGCACTACTTCACCCCTGCACTGCACCAGTCACCCCTGCTCTGCACCATTCACCCCTGCTCTGCACTATTCACCCCTGCACTGCACCAGTCACCCCTGCTCTGCACCATTCACCCCTGCTCTGCACCATTCACCCCTGCTCTGCACCAGTCACCCCTGCTCTGCACCAGTCACCCCTGCTCTGCACCATTCACCCCTGCTCTGCACCATTCACCCCTGCTCTGCACCAGTCACCCCTGCTCTGCACCAGTCACCCCTGCTCTGCACCAGTCACCCCTGCTCTGCACCATTCACCCCTGCTCTGCACTATTCACCCCTGCACTGCACCATTCACCCCTGCTCTGCACCAGTCACCCCTGCTCTGCACTATTCACCCCTGCTCTGCACCAGTCACCCCTGCTCTGCACTATTCACCCCTGCTCTGCACCAGTCACCCCTGCTCTGCACTATTCACCTGGCAGCCAGTTCTTCGCCCCTTTGCTCCCTGACGGCTCTTTCCAGTCGAAGGGGCTCAGGAGAGTCCCCTCGTTTGCACGGTCTATGTCCAGTCACTCCAGCATCTTGTCATTCCCTCAGCTCCAAAAGTGCTGGCTCGGAGGAGGGGAGGGTGGGTTGAGCAGACACCAGAGTTCAAGAGTGCAGAAAGCTGGATCTCTCCCCAGAGGACAGACTCTCCAGGGCACATGGCAGCCTCTTATTAGGTGTGTTCAGAAACCAGCTGACACCAAGGAATAAGGAAATGATAGCAGATGTTTTCCGTGGGCAGTGGCATCTGTGCTCAGTGTGTCAGTTGACTTCCTGTTGCCTGCAAGATGTAGAAATCTCAGCTACCTAGGCAGCACCATGTCTGTCCACATACCACCATGCTCCCTGCCATGATGGTAATGGACTGAACCTCTGACCCTATAAGTGAGCCACCCCAATTAAATGTCTTCTTTATAAGAGTTGCTGTGGTCATGGTGTCTCTTCACAGCAATAAAAACCCTAAAACAGGGTGTGTGTGTGTGTGTGTGTGTGTGTGTGTGTGTTTGCTTTCTTTTCAATGTTGGGACCTGAACTTAGGGCCTGGCATGTGCTAGACAAGTGCTCTACCACTGAGCTGTATTCCCAGCCCACACATTAATTTGTATGCAAGTATCACCAGTCCTAATGAATGTCCAATAGTTTAATGTAGAGCCACATGATATAAAACACAGGCCATGGGTTTATTTGCTGCGTGCTCCAAAGTCGTTACCTTGTGCCTAATAAACATCTCATCTTCATCTTATTTGTTCATGCCCTTAGTCTTTATTAAGGGGTCTTATAAGGGGCAGGCATTCCAGGTCCTGAGAATATATCACTGAATGAAGCGGACATATGCCCCTGCCCCATAGAGCTGGTGTTTTAGTGGGGTTTATAATCATTCTTGAATAATTCATTTTGAGAAGGATTCCATTTTTGTGGGGGAGGGAAAGAAATGAACAGAATATTATACCAATGTACAGTGGCAACTCAACAGAGCAACAGGGCGTTTGGGTTTTCGGCTAGCAGACTGCATTTAGCACTGGCCGTAAACATCCTTTGCTATTCTTGGTTCTAGGTTTTTTTCTTTTCTTTTTTTAAATGCTTTATGAATGGTGTTAAATTTCATGAATGTGGAAGTCCCAGCAGAATGCAGGATTGGTCTATTATTCCGGGCATTTTTTTTTTTTTTTGTTTATCTAAGATAAATTTACATACATTGAAAGACACAAATCCCATAGATTCATTAATTTAATATTTGTTTACTTATGCCATGGATACCTGCCTGCCAGGCAAGTGTTCTGCAACTGAGTCACATCCCCAGCCTGTGTTTACATTTTTAAGTAAGAACATGTGAAACCTTCTGCAGCTACAGTGCAGGATAGAATTACATATCGTGTTCAGAGTGATGATCCTGAGACCCTGCAGGATGCTGAATCGGTAAGAGGAGATTTAATTATGTTCATTAAGCAACTTATTATAGCAAGGAAATGGACTGAGGCAATTTAGAGAGGTTTCAGACAAAAAGTATCTTCTCATTAACCCATAGTTAATCAGAAACCCAATTAACCAATGCGCTCCGCGCTAGGATACTCCTTCCAGACTTACTTATTCTTCTCAACCGTGATCAGGTCACTGGTCCAGATCCCACCATCTCACATTTACAGCATGAAAATCAATGGATCATTTTGTCCCCAACAGCATGAAAAAGCTTCCAGAAACAGTCACCTCAGAGACTGGAAGCTGTTCTGCTTAGAAACTGACACATGCAGGTCTGAATTTTGCTTTAAAAGCACTCTAGAAGTAGCATATCCAGTGTCCTAGTCAGGGTTACCATTGCTGTGATAAAACATCAATAAGCAAAACAATCTGGGGAGAAGGACTTATTTGGCTTACACATCTACATCATAGCTCTCTACTGAAGGAACTCAGGACAGGAACTCAAGCAGGGCAGGACCTGGAGGCAGGAGCTGATGCAGAGGTCATGAGAGGTGCTGCTTACTGGTTTGCCCCCCATGACTTTCTCAGGCTGCTTTCTTATAGAACCCAGGACCACCAGTGTAGGGATGGCACCATCCACAATGGGTTGGTTACTAATTAAGAAAATGCCTTAGAGGCCTGCCTACAGATCTCAATAGAGGGTCCCCTCAGATGACTCTAGCATATGTAAAATTGCTACAAAACTAGCCAATATGATGAGTTGATGCAAAAATTAGTTAAACTACCGTTTTCCAAACATGATTTTAAGTTGGCATACAAAATGGCATTGCACTGTGCATTTTCATACCTGTACATACATAGTTGGCTCGTATTCACGCCCTGTAAACAATGGTCCTTGTGCCCTTCCAGGCCCTTTGCTTCATGTTCATCTCCCCCTTCCTTTCCTACACAAATGTGAGAAAAATGTGACAATTACCTTTCTGTTTGGCTTATTTTACTTAACATAGTAATCTCCAGTTCCAGCTGTCTTCCTGAAAATGACAGCTTTATTCTTTTTAACGACTAAACAATACTCCATGAAGTTTATATACATTTGCTTTATCCATGTTGATGGAGTCTTTGGCTGATTCTATGGCTTTGCTATTGTGACTAATGTGCAAGTACTTTTATAGTAAGCTGTGATTCTTGGGGGCATATACCTAGATATAATATTGCTGGATCGTGTGAAAGTTCTAGTTTAAGTATTTAGAAGTGTCCATGTTTTTTTTTTTCCATAGTGGCCAGACTTAGCTGTTGCAGTGTAGTGATATATTTATAATTTATTAAAGCTTGCCTGAAGGTCTGAAAAGCAAAGCAGCTGGCCACAAATCCTTACCTCTATCTCAGGCTGAAAGAGCTGACCCATGAGCTCTCCTCAGCATGGCTGGAGACTGAATGCTCCTATCTTCAGTGTGGCTGGAGAATGAATGCCTCCTACTTAATATTGAAGACCCTGCTCCTATCTTTTATACCCCTTTAGTTCTGGGATTAAAGGAGTGTGATCTATTACTCTTTAAGACTGATTCAATCTCATGAAGATCTTAGTGGCCTTGAACTCACAGAGATCAATCTACCTCTTAATCCTGAGTTCTAGGATTAAAAGTGTGTACCACCACCTCCTAGCTTCTGGATGCTGGGATTAAAGGTGTGTGCTGGCTTCTAAGGCTTGTGGCTGACTTTGCTTTCTGAATCTTCAGGAAAACTTTAATGTATCACAAATAATATATCACCACATTGCAGTTTAAGATGTGAACCTTTAGCTTATGCTCCAGCCACCATGCTTGCTTTTGGCTAGCTTCCTTAGCATGATGGGCTCTTATCCCTCTAGATCTGTAAATCCAAAAAATTACCATGGTTGTGGTGTCTGATCACAGCAATAGAAAAGTAACTAAGACAGAAGTTGGTACCAGGAGTGGGGTGTATTGTGTTTTGAAATGAGGAAGACTTTGGAATTTAGGATTAGGAAAGCAGTTGAACATTCTCATCAGAGCTTAATTGTCCATCCTAGTAAACAATAGTGCTGAGAGATATGTAGACTGAGGAGACCCAGCACAAGAGGTTTCAGAAGGAGCAATACTCAAAACGGCTAGATATGATTCTTGTGACATTCAACAAGAATTATGGCTGCTTTTTTTGTCCTAAGACCTTGCCTGAAACTAATTTTTTAAAGACAAAGAGTAAGTTATTGGCAGAGGAGTTTCCAAGATAACCTCATATTAACTCTATCATATGATTATCAGTGATCACTCTCACGGTTTACAACGAAAAAGATCAATGATGCAGGAAAAAAAAAGTACAATTTAAAGAAGAAAAGAGCACCAGGAAACTTTATGTTGTAGCCACCGATTGGGCTGAATGAGATAAGGAAAGGCCTGATCTGCATTGGAATAAAGGGAAGGCTGCCCTCAGGGAAAGATGCCACTTGGCTAAACCTCCAACTTGGGAAAGGAAAAAACCCAAGGACTTTCCTGATCCTAAAAAGCAACTGCAAACAAAGGGTGATGCTAATGTGGTTTCATGGGGTGAGGATCCATCCCATGCTGACAGTGTCATCCACATGGCCAGGACTCAGAGTACAGGGGTCACAGGATCTTTATTCCTGTTTTCAGAGAGCTCAGCGGGTAAGAGCATCTGCTGTGCATGCTTGAGAGCCTGAGTTTAAATTCCAAGCACTCACATAAAAAGCTGGGCATGATCACATGGCCCTGTACCTGGAGTGTAGAGATCCTGGGGTCTCACCCCAATAAAGTAAAAGCATTTGGCATGAGCACACACACCTGTAACCCTAGTGTTGTGGGGCAGACACAGGGGGATCCTTGGAGCTCACTGGCCAACCAGTCTACTCCAAATAGCAAGTTATAGGTTCATTGAGAAGCTAAGCCAGAAAGTGATTGAGGAATACATCCACCATCCTTCACTGGCTTCCACGGGCACATGCATGGATACATAAAACCAGTATACGTGTACACACACATACCCCCACACACATGCACACACACACACTTAAACATAGGTGTGCAATCCCAGCACTAGGAAGGTTGGGGCAGGAAGATAATAAGTTTAAGGTCACCTCAGCTATATAGTAAGTTTGAGGTCAGTGAGGCACATAATAAAACAAACAAAATACTCAAGTACTGAAAGACCCCACTCCCGGAGATACCTGCACTCCTGTGTGAATTATACTATCATTCTCACAAGCCAAGATATGGAAGCAACCCAAATTCCAATCAAGGGCTAAATGGCTAAACAATTCAGTCAATCCAAACAAACAAACAAAACAGAACCTTATGGTATTAAAACATTGTGGAATGCTGTTCAGCCATGAAAGGTGAAAATGGCTCAGTGGTAAAGAACTCCAGGGTAGCTGATGCTCTCTTCTGGTCTCTGCAAGCACCTACACACACACACACACACACACACACACAGAGAGAGAGAGAACAGACACATGTGCATACATATAGATGAACTAAATACACATGCCTAAAAAATAATATAGATAACTCTTTAAAATATCCTCATTTCCCTTTACCTCTTCCAGTTTGGATTGCTGTTATCCAAGAAATAAAAGAAACAACAAAACCCCGAAAGAAAGTTGTTACAAAGAACATAAATTATGACAATCATAAA